TGTCGTATCATGTCGATTTTTCTCTCAATGTACACGGTGTCGGCTACTGCGATTAGACCATATTCGGCTGTCGGATACTGGGTCATAGGATAGATTGATCGCATTATTCATATAATTTTATAAATTTTTCTTATTTCGGAAAAATTCAGGATCAGTTTTCGTCCATTACATGTTATTTTCAACTTGGATAATGAAATACACAAATTTAACCCTGGGATTCTTTTAGACTGTCGGATACTGGAACCTCCACTGTAGACTCTTAACAATTTTCGTCTGAAATTTCCAGTACATTTTTTGGAAATTTTTATCGAATTTAATTACCACCAAAATTTCAAGGAATTTCGTCATTGAAAATCCAGGATTTCGTGGAAAAATCAAAGAGAACAGTAAATTTTAGTTTCATTTTTTTCAGAAAAATAGAAAACCAGAAAATTACGGTAAATATATTCTGGAATTTCAAGGACAGTGACAATGAATGCGTTTTAGGGGCAAAAAAATCATGAAATTTCAGATTTCACGGAAAATTCAATGTAATTTGGTACAAGACATTCATATTAGATTGAAAATTGAAATAAATTAAGAAATTCTCCTCTTTATGCTGCTTAAAATTCTGGAATTTTACTGAATTTTCAGTGAAAATTTCAGTGAATTCATTGAAATTTCATGATTTTGTTTTCCCTAAATTGCATTCAGTGTCACTGTCCTGGAAATTAGTAGTCAACTGTCTATGCTATGCTTACTGTACTATACATAAATTTCATGTACCTTTGTCACTGTTAAAAATTTCAAGATCGTATACTTGAAGTTTCAAGAGTGATTTTCCAACATTCTACTCACGAAATTATGTACCCTACATCTGTGTAAACCATATGAATCATTGTTTGTTGATTCTAGCACCAAAAGAAAATATGTATGTCTAAAACCCAGATAAGAAGGTCACCTTGCCCATCACCATCCCACCCTCCCCTCCATCCCGCTTATGACACAACTCATAAAAATGATTCACACAAAAAATCCCCCCCCCCGCCCC